AAAAGTGTATCATTAGCAAGTGCGTTATTTGCATTGACCAAATGAGAGCATGCCTACATTAGCAAGGCATTAGCAACTCAGTCTTTAAACATAAAACTGAAAGTTAATTTGAGGAAACTTCATTACATGTTAATGATTATCAGAAGGGAAACCTCTGCATCAGCCCATTTGTACAAAAATTAACTTTTTGAGCAGATGGGAAGATCAAGCTATAACTTTTCTTAGCAACGACTTTAGTTGTGTTAGGTTCTGTAGCTTTATGCTGTCATATGCCATATCTGATTAGAAGCAATTAATTCAAGCTGTGTAATATTTTGATCATATCTTGGGTGACAATCCTTTCTAAATTACAGGTTGAAACTAGCACATTTTATTTTTTCTATTTGACATGCTCTCTGATGGGTCCTGATTGATTCAGGAGTTTATGATTGCCATGATGTCAACCAACAGTTTAAAATGTTTAATCAGTGAAAATATAAAAATTAAGATGTTTTTACATTTGAATACAAAGAATATAATTTAAATATGTTCTCTAACTACTCTTTGGCTATTGAAGAATATATCAATTTATCAAAGAGATGATTGATTTTGCCCTGACAAGCTGATGACAATGCTGTCTCATATGCTTGTATATTACTCCAAAGAACCTCACACAAATCTTTTCATTGCCCTGTGGTACAGTAAACAGGCTCCCACCTCTTTACTCGGGCATAAACACGGCGTTTGCGGGTGCTGGTGGGGAGGTGGTCTCAGAATGGTGCGGCGCTAAAATGAGAAAGGGGGCACTGTGACTTAATCTGACAGAACTGAGCGATCTGTGTGGGATGTCTGCCTCGGGGAGAGAGAGAGAGCATAGAAGTGAAAAGAAAAAGAAGGGGATCAAATGGATAAAGGGCCTCTACATACAGAAAAGCTCACGTAGAGATGGGAGACAGGCAAGGTCACCCACTGACAGGTCGCCTCAACAAAAAACGGCTTGCTTGTTAAAATTATATTTACGTTTTATAATACAGTGTTGCATGCATTCAAATTCAGATGCCATTTTTTGGGTCTTTTATAGCGTCTATGATTTCGTCTTTGTCATCCACAATACAAACCCGACTGTACTGCCAGCCCGACATCCCTCCCCTGCGCACACTCTTATTGGATATGGCATGCTGGGTGACCCTATCCACCCCTGTCACTCAAGCCTGATGAGCGAATCGGGAGCTGGGTATTGGGCGAAATAAGGAAGTAAAGAGAAATTGATGTTGAGTTGCGGAAGCGTAGCTAACCCAGATCCTAACAGGCACTAACCTAAGTTAATAAAGTGAGAAGGACCTTTAATGGCCACCTACTGCCTGCAAATACAGCCCAGTGGCTAGGCTTCATTTTGGCAAAGATAATGATTTTAACTTTTAAGTAATGAAATAACCGTCTCAATTTTTGTCTGGCTCCTTTTGTCACTGCATGCACCGATGACCGTTCGTAGTCGTGCTTTGTACCTGTCAAGTGTTGTCCTCTTCCTTGCGCTGCATAAGAGCCCTCACATCAAAGCACAGATGAAACACCCTCTCGCTCCGGCCGCCTCGCTCTCTGCTCCTTCTTTACATTAGACACATTTCATTTCATTACAACACCACTGGATAAAACGAAAAGCTCTGTCTTAATGGCATGTCTTGTTTATACGTCCTGACCCAGACATTCATTTTATTCCAGCATAAGATGTTGTCCGATAAGGCACTGTTAAAATTGCGTCTATAATATTTGATGATTATTATAGTTCCCCCTAAAATCTTGCGTTGAAATAACTTTTTGCTTTTGTTAGCGCCTTTCTGCTTCAACATTAAAACAATAGAAAAACGATATAATTTGTCATTTTCACCCATCCTTAGATAGAGTGGCAGTATTTAGTATGTATGGTCCAAATGTTTAGTCCATACATGTATGAGTGTTTGTATTTGAAAATGTATATTATTATGTGAATATTAGTCAATTGAAGATGGTGTGTATATAGGTACACAGCGACAGTGTATCTTGAAATATGTTATGGCTTTATGTTCAGAGTTTAATTAATGATTATTTAGTTATCAAGGTTGGGAAAATAATTGTCTAACTTCAGCCTCAGTCCAACTTAACTATTTCGGTCGGTAAAATAGTCAAATTTATGAGTACAAATTTGTTCTTGTCTGTATGAAATTGTTCTGTTGTTGAGTAATGACAGAAGAAAATAAGAAACAAAATAAAAAAGAAAAGAGTACTTATTGAGTCATGCAGGATTGAGAAGGCTTCATCTCAATCGTGACATAAACAGAGGTTTCCGTGGCATCGGCTGCCTTTGTTGTGTTATCTGCTGCACGACAGGCTGACAAAGACGGGCTGAGGATCGTCCGAAGCGGGGTGACAGGGTCGCAGTGCCCCCTTTTCGAGGGGACGGCGCGACCCTCTTGACCGCTGGCCCTGGGGCACGGGGCTCAGTGTGGTGGTGGCACAGGGGCACCACAGGGCATGGGAAGAGGCTCAGCAGAAGCTCTACAGCAGAGGCACCAAATCAGATCTGTGTGCTTCTTTATTTAAAACCGTGTGTGCACAAGACAAAGACATACAGCTCAGAGTTTGCAGTGGTTGTGCTATGGATTTAGTCATATAAAGGAGAGTGACCTAGGATTGTAACCTGCATTTGTATAAGATTGAGACAGACTTTGACAGCACATCACAGCACAATGATCAGATTTAGTCAATGTATTCCATTTTTGGGTCCATCTGTCAGTATGTCTGAAGGCAAGATGTAACAGTTAGTTTTCCACTCAAAGACTGCATGTCAAGGGTGAAAGCCAAGAGACTGGGCTCTTTTTTGTGAAACTCAGATTTTAAAAGCTATATTTCTGTAATACGTTTACTTGTATTCTTTTAGCACAGGATTGATGTGGAGCTATTACGCAAACAAACTGTTTATTGATTGTCCCAGTTCATGACCAAGTGTTTTGTCTTTGTTTGACAGAGAGGGGAATGATTGAAGGAAACGGTTCAACTAGTAGTAGCAGTGTTAGTCTGACACCACGAACCTCCCGGTGTTAAATTAAATGATGACTTCCGACACAGAGTTGAACTTTGAGGCCCTGCTCCTCCTGACCGAGGAGCAGTGTTTGCTTGAGCAATGTCCTTCTGGGTGACTGGACATCTGAGAGGCTGTTGGCGACATTAGGGATGTTGGTGTTGGAAAAAGGCTATAGGCCAGTAAGGGTTAGGATTCCAAAGCTGAAGGCTAGGATCCCTCACCAGTTGGGGTTAGAATCAGACTTCCTAAAGCCAGGAAGCACGACGGAGCACTTTGGGTTGCAGAGATCATTTTGGAGTACGACTAGTTGGCGAGCACTTTTGGATTGCTTCAGCAGGACTAACAACTTTTATCATGTTAACCAAAAAATGAAGACGAGATTCATGTACATCAAGAGTGAGTAGAATGACTTACTTGCTTTACTTTTCACAATAGCATATTGTATAATTCACCTGACAAAATGTTTTGTTGTCATGGGCTGTACTTACAGTTATATTGTCAAACTACCACCAGTGGGCAGTGGCAGAAAGATGGTGTTAACCTCGATATTATGAGTAATGAAACTATCTTTGAAAAGTCTATTTTTTACAAGATTTTGACAGTTTTCCAGTTTCTGCAATTGGCTTTTGGAATTATTTTTGGTAGTGTTGGGCACCAGTAGTAAGCAATGATCCCAATTGATATGCATATGATTGCTGTTAATTATAATTAATGTAAGTTGTACATCTGCACATGGACAAGTTGTCGCGTCTGAATTTGAAAGCAAGTGAGAATCAGGCTGATTTGATAATCTAAATAAGTGAGAAAGTGTCGTGTAGCTGTTGTCAACACACGGCAGGTGTTAAGGAAAGGGTTGTGTGAAAGGTTTGATGGCGCAGGAGGGACTCTATGGCAAGCACATTGTGTTAACACTTATTAAGAAAGATGATGCTGAGCGAGCCTACAACTCACCCATTACTGTCCTTTAGGTGTTTTTTCGCTCTTATTTCTCATGATACACATTTTTCAGATGTGAGAATATTTTGACTCTAGGATGATCCAAACACAATCTACAATTTTGCAATTTATACCAAGTTGCAGTATATTTTTAGTTTTAGACAAATAGATTGTGTGTGATTGCATAGATTATATTGACAAAATAAAGTAAAAACTAAACCAAAGCTAGTCGTTTGAAATGATTATAAACCTCCATGTATTGTATGTGGAGTTTTTCAGCTTTAGTTTCCAAGTACAGGGTAAACTGTTGGTACAATATAAGTAAAAGTCTACATACACATTCTTCATCATGCTAAAGTTGGAGATTTTAGACTTCTTTCCTTATTATGCTAAAGATTATGCTGCTTCTTTTTATCCTAAAGTTAGAGATTTTATTTTATTTTATTTTTTTTTAGTATTGAGTTATTTTTAATTTATCTTGTGTTGTGTGCTCCTCATTCCTACTGTCTGTAACTTGATGCAACACTGAAATGTCTCCACTGTGGAAGAATAAAGGATCTCTATTCTATTCTATAAAGGATCTCTTTATTTTATTAATACACTTGAAGAAAATGTATTTTTACACAACCTATTTCCGCGTATTTAATATTTCTATATTTATTATTTATTTATTTTATTTATTTAAAAAGGGATATTATCTTAACCTTTCGTTGTTAATAAACATCTGAAAATGTTGTTTGATTTTCACATTTTTAATCATTGGCTATAAACATTTAAGATTTTTGAAACACAAATAAATCCCCAGAGTGATTAAGAAATTGATTAGATTTTATATTATGTGACATGACCTTTAGACAAAAACGCTGCTTACTGGCTGAACCTACCGTAACTCCTCTGCCCTCTTTATTTTTGTCTATTTGTTTAGTGAACTGATTGACTTAGTATTTGTCACATAAACAAACTAGTCGTTTCCATTTAAATCATGGAAAAAGTGTGTTTTATTTGTTTATGTCCATCTTGTTTGTAGGAAGGCTTTGGCGTAATGGTGTTAAACCCGAACGAAAACTACCTTGAAAAGGAGAAGCCAGAAACATCTTCCCCTGTTGGCTTGGCGGACGAACTACTGGATGAGCCAGTCGAAAAGAAAGAACGCAAAGACGACAAAGAAAACAGCAAGAAAAAGGAATTTTACGAGAAGTATCGCAACCCACAGAAGGAGGCTGAGACAGAACGCATCCCTGTAAGAGTAAGTCAATACGAGACGACAGCGCTAACGGACATGGACATGAGGAAAGACTTGTTTGACTGAGACATAGAGACAGCGTGATGGGTGTTCATCTAAAGCAGACATGATGGGGGAGGAGGACAGACTGACAGTTAAAGGGTGTGGGAGGAGAAGCCGCATAGGTGAGAAAATGGGAGGTATGATTTTGGACAAGTTTGAAAAAAGAGGCAAGAATGTGATGAAAGTAGTAGCATGTGAGGTGAAGGCTGGAGAGGGAAATGTTAGGTAATGAGAACTGGAGGATGGGATGCTGAGGGAGAAGAGAGGCTCTTGTGTGGTCAGCCTGTGTGTGAAGAGGTTGGCTGGGCTCCAGTCGCCTCTCAGTGAGCAAGTGTTAACCACATGGCCCTCTCCCTGGTTTCCTCTCTCTCCCTCTCGCTCTCATATGGTGGGCTGGTCAGTGCAGCTTTGGCCCTTCACTCGTGTTGACCGCTGGGATTATTATCTCCTGAATGCACACTCGGCAAACACACAGCAACATTCTTATCATGCTAGGATGGGCGCACAGACGTCAATCCCACATGTTTATGCACACATGGTTTGGAACTTAATAATCAGCCTAGACAATGAACTCTATTCTTCACATGACATTATCATTTATTTTTGGAATAGAATGTAATTACAAATCAGTGTTATACTGTTTAAAATTTGACTTTTTACTGCTATATAGACAGTTTATTTTCATCGCTACCTATCTGCACCTATTTCATAAACTGTTCTTAAACTACATTTTCAAATAAGTGACTACTCTTGACCCATAGTAATTAGTAGTTCAATGAGTTCCAATTTAAACAAGACAATGAAAATGTGATGCTGCTGGATTTCATACATAAATCATACAATGTCTCCTGTAAAGGAACAGAAGGTAGTAGAGCTGCAACTAACAATTATTTTGTAATCGATTAATCTATCGATTATTTTTACGATTAATTGAGTAATCGCTTGGCTGTGAATTGTGTAGAAAAAAATTATTTTTTAAAGTAAATGTTTGTAACAGGCTCATTGTGCTAATTCTGCTATCTGATTGGATGAGACAGACAGATATTCATTAAATTATAAAATCATTTTTGCTCTGTTTGAGTCCGTGTAAACCAGAAAACGATTAATCGATTACTAAAATAGTTGTCGACTATTTCAATAATCGATTAGTCGTCGATTAATCGATTAGTTGTTTCAGCCCTAGAAGGTAGTCATACGTTTTTGCTCTTATTGGTTTAAAATACAAATTCAACAAAAGCATGTGTTGCCAGTCTTCCCAGTGCATGTAGAGCACACACTCATATGCTGCAGCTTCTGAAGTTTTGGTATATGTTTCTGATTGGATATCTGCTTAGGAAATGCAAATATAATATATGTGAGTATGTACAGTACATTGTTTCAGTGTATAATAAATAAACTATAACATTGTGATCAGAAAAGGCTGTAGACTATAATACTTGTTTATCTTGTATGGAGACACAGATTGCGGTTCAAGCAAACAGTTTCATAGTTAATTTAGAATAAACAATCAACATGCTGTTCTTTTAAATCAGTAGTGATCACTTTTCTCTTATACATATATTAAAATTCTTAAATAATACGTTTGACAAGGACTCTTGGCTGTGTGTGTAAAAAGATGAATAATTGATAAAGGTTTGTGAGACAATGCTTTTAGCTGTCAGCAAAGGGATTTCCCCACTCTCCATCTTCACACAATCAATAAGATGGAGCAATCGTGTGTGAATAAATCGTACGGCATGATGTTCCGTGATTCACGTAAGCAGGCCTACAGTATAATAAGAATTCAATGTTGTATTAATGTTTTAAGGAACAAAGCAGAAACAAATGCAAATACTCACATGTCCTGGTCCATGAGCACTAAACAAAAACATAATTAAAAATACAATTGTACAAACAATAAAAATACAACTCAACAAAATATCAACTAAAGACTGCTACTGTATGTGCTGATCCACAGATTGATGGTTCTCTGCTTGAATCCACTGTTGACAAGACAGACAGTGAGGGGGCTTCCATTTTGTGGCAACCTTTTTTGCAGCCGTAAGCGGAGAAATGTAGTTTTATAAAAGTTAAATAAAAGAATATGTTTAGAAATACTATAATTAATTTAATATAAATAACATTTGTTCCTTGCAGCCACACTGAAACCTTTGATTTAGTTGATTTCAATGCTTTGTAGTTGCATTTCAACCGTCACGACCATTGCATTGAGAAGGCACGTTGTTTTTCATGTTCTAATCGCAAACACGCATGAATTTTTCTTTTAAGTTGGTTGTGTGGCACTCGTGGTGTCCACCTCAGATCACTCTCAGACGCAGGCATTGCAGATTGTGGATAAAGATTAATGGCGGAGCGGGTTGGGTCTGTGTCGGTGCCACTTGAATTCTGACCTTTGATCTCGGAGTCAGCAGGATGCGTGTGTGTTTGACCTCGCCTCCTCCTTCACAGCCGCACTTTACCGCAGTCTGCCTGTGTCCAGCGCGCAGTAATCTGTCACCCTCGCACACATAAGCGTATACATGGTGATGGACTAGGGCACAAAGAGTCACAAAAGAAGCAGGTACAAAAAGAGCTGAGGTTTTAGTGTGGGTGTGGGTGCCCGTGTGCCATTCTCCTTCACCTTTGTTCGACCGGCTGGGTGGTGGATCAAATCAAACCTCTTTAGCCAGCCTGTTTTCATCTTTTTTAAAGCACCCAGCCAGGCTCGCAAAGCGCTCTTGCAAAAGCGCACACATGAACAAGGCTTTTTCTTCTATACACCTCACAGTCTTAACTCCTGCTGAGATGCGAGACCACCTGCACGCTGCTATTCAGATGCACACATTCTAGCATACTTCAAGCATTCATCAGGTAATAGAGATTGAATAATTGGAAAAAAAATCTGTATAGTTTGAATTCACTGGATATAAAAGGTCTTATAGACAAAATAAAACATTGTGCAGCTTCTTAATACACCATCTGATGAGGGTAGGGTGTGCAGCCTCACTTTACTACAACTGCTTAATAGAGATGTGTTGATTATTACGCTTCCATGCACACATTAATAATCTCTTAACTGCTCTTAGGATTGGTACATTTTAGCCTTGGGTTCATAGTGCGCAACCTCTCAACCTTATCTAATCCTCCTTCTCCAGATCACACACCACTGCACCGCGTTTAGAGGGGTGCTGGTTCAGGGCTGAGCCACAGCGAGAGGGTTCGGGGGTATAAAAGTGGACGCAGGGATGCTGATGAGGATAACTGTGGGGTAAAATGGGTGTGGGAGGGTTCATTCTTAGCACTTTGCCATATAGAAGTTTGGGAGTTCACTTTACTCTGAATTTTAGCAGTAATCCAGTTAGCTATTTTCTGTCAGCCAAGCGGAGGAATGGCAGGAACAAAAGCCACATTCATGGGCTTAAGAAGCTTCCAAAGAGTTCACCCAAGGCTGGCTGGCTGGGATTAGGCCAGCAGGTCCTGGAAAGAAGGGAAAAAGAGCAAACGACAAAAAACAGAGCTTATCCTTCCTTTAATTACAACATATAAAAGTTTAGGCACAGATTGTCTTCATTTTCGTGCAGGTTTAACAGTACTGGATGCAATTTTTCCTCATTTAATTTGTACATTTGTTTTTCCCTTGCGTAGATATGTTGTTGTGAGTAACTTATGATATAAGAAACAGGCTCATTGATTTTTGTATGCAGTTTTACAGTTTTCATGAGAAATCGGAGGTGCACTGCTGATGTGGCAGCTCTTGAAGGTCTACACTCAGCTGGGAAGAGCGCTTGACTCATTGTCGTGATATTTATCAATGTGTGAGAAATGTACTTGTAAAAAATAGTCTACTGTAAAGTTTGAAGAATAAATCAGATCTTCAAGCTGGTAAAATGGGGTGTCGCCATTTTTAGAAATTATTGCATTATTCAGACATTGCTGGTTGTTTACAATGTTGAAGGTATAAAAGTAAAGCAGCATTTATTATGTTGGCCCAGTGGTTGCTGGACAAGGTATTCCCAGTTGCAGATGTCCACAGGGGCAGCAGCCTCAACATCTTGTTCTTGTCTGTTTTTAGCAGTGATGTGCTGTTTTCCCAGTGTAGAACAAACCACCCCAAGGATCCACAAACATGCACACTCACATATTCCCTCATAGTGAACATTAAGACATGGACTCTGTGACATACACACAGCTAATTGCATTCAACATGGTGCAACAGTGTTTCCCTCTGGGAGAAGGTTTCTGCTCTTTGTCACCTTCACCCCTTTTGCCCCAATGTGTAGCCCACTTGCAATTATACAGACAGGTTTTATTTGGCCTGTGACCTGTTGTCGTGCCAGGATGTGTGGCTCAGCATATCCAAGGACAGGTAGGGACTTTATTAACCTTTGGACTTGGTCAAAGAAGAGGTCAATGACCAGGGCTAAGGGCAGTTTCACCTGCGTGGTGCTGAAAACAAATGGGCTTATTGCTCTCTTTCTGTTGCGTCTTTTCATTTATTGACATTAACCTTTGTTCATTACACTTTTACTCTTTCATTTATGTTGGTGTTATTTGCAAAAAATATTGTTTCTTTTCGTAACCCACAGTATGTGCTGTGTGTGTTAATTGCAGGAACATCTGTTTGTGTCCATGTGATTGTTTGTTTGCTCTAGGCAGAACCATTGCCGCTCTAGTCTCAGATCCCTGCTCCCAATCTTCTAGTCAGGTCAACCATCAAACACATCCATCCTGCCCTCCCTTGCACCTCCTGCACACTGAGCCGCCTCTGTCTTAGCCAGCACACAGACATGCTGTAGATACAGGCTGACCTGAATAGAGACATACGCACACACCTCCGCGCACACACAAACAGCACCTCAGGGTCATCCAGGAACAAACACTGCCTTGTCTGCTTGCCCGCTCTCCTTTACCTTATGTCAATTAATGGCTTGCAGTAATTTCACCTGACAATCCGGGCGGCAGTGCGGGTCTAGCCGAGATGT